CCGGAACGGGTTTTGAGATTTTCACATCTCGTGTCCTGCTGAAAAGCTGCCTATGCAACATTTTTTCCCTGGATGAAGTGCTGCTGGCATTTTCCCTAGTTCTGCGTGTCCAGCAGCAGTAAATATTCATAAGAGGTTGTTGACTTTTTATAACAGCAGCACTGCAATAGTTCGTTACTAAGCAGTGCATTTACTCCATTAGTCTGCGGAAGAAATTTTTTAAACAAACACAGATTTCGAGTCTCGGCTTCCACGTATTGTGATATGTCACATGCTCCAATGTCATTCTTTAAACGCCCATTTACTGTTTCTGTTGTTCACTGTGTGTATGTGAAGTATGAAAATCCAGCTTTCCTCGCGTCTCGCCCTTTCGTTTCTGGAAAATATAGGAACCTTCGTAGGAAAAGGGTTCTTTTACAGACAGAGTTTTTAAATTTTTTACAGATTGCTTTTTGGCAGAAATTTTTGAACATTTAGGGCAAACTGTGAATAGCGAGCGGTTAGACCAGATACTTCATGGCTGCTTGCTTTATCAAGTTTCTGCGTAAACCAAGCTTATGTTTGGTTCCGAAATCAAGTTAAGTATATACATATATATGTATATTTTGCAAATGACGTTTGATTTTTCTTGACGATATAAACAGTTATATTCCCCGTGATCAGTCATATTCTTCATCTGATGAGCAACTCACAGGACACCATTACGAACTCACAAAAAATTTAGATTAGATGGGCAACGTCTGTTGTTCGCTTTGCTAGCAACGAGAGAGTGGGTGTGTTAGCGGTATTCATGAGAAAGAAAGCGACCATTCGGGCGGCCTTCATAGAGTGCATGATTGTCAATTTTTTGCATGAAGCCCAGTAATTTTTCCAGTGAGCGACTTTTCATCGAAAATTGCAAGTTAGAAAACGCACAGGTTGTCGGAACAGAGCGGTTACGAAATCCGCAAAACGCATTCGCTTTTGAATTTGCCGTATAGTCGACTATTTCTCATGTTGCATTTGGGAAATTTTGACTCCAAGCTTTATGTAGCTCACATATGAATACGGAATATCCTTGCAAAGTCACAGCCTCGCAGCTTAGTAAAAATTTTTATGATGTGGGGGAGCGGGGGGGGGGGGGGGGGGGGGG